GTGGAGCTGGGCCTGGATAAAGGTGGAGCTGGGCCTGGATAAAGGTGGAGCTGGGCCTGGATAAAGGTGGAGGTCTAAACAGACGTGAGTACAGCTTCCTGCTGTCACAGTGTTTTAAATACATTGATAAGGCAGGGTATGCTATATGCAGCCTCTGCTCCAAGGAGATGAAGTACAGCAACAAGGGCTCACATGCCCTCTCATCACTCTGCCAGACACTGTTCAGTGTAATGACCACAGCCAGTGCACTAACAGTCCCAACAGTCCCACGTTGCTCTCAAGAACCCTGAAGTAATGAGAGGGTTAAGGTGCCTGTACCTTCATTTCAGCGGGTTGCTAATGCAGAGGTGTGTATAGATCACAGCTATTATTTTACTCTTGATAAGTTACCTTAGCCAGAGTTATCATTTTCATTTAAATAATTGAACTGGATTGAATGCATATTAATTGCAAATAGAAGATAGGCCACAATTCTAACGGCTGTACAGTAACAGTGGAAGTTAATATGAAGCCATACAGTAACGGGGTTCAATGAAAAATTTGCACTACAAAGGGAAAGCAATATGTGCACTAGTTGGATGCTGCTACCTACTAAAGCTCTTATTGATGTGTCAGTGTCAACCAGAGTATATTTATAAATGTTTATTCTTTTAATCTAACTATTGCCTCTCATTCGTTTGTGTCATTTAAGGTATACTGTATGCTTTGGAATTCTCATTGTTAGTTTAAATACTACATTTTCTCACTTTTTCATGTATACACTGAGATTTCACAAAATGTTTGGTCATGGAAATTTGGTTTAAAGTCATGGAGAAGTCATGGAAATCAATTGGTCAAAATGTGTATGAACCCTGGGTTTAAGGCGCTTCACTTTTCAGACCCGGAGTTTTCTCCAGGGTTTCACAAACGATTAGTTTTTTTCATGACATCTGTTATGTACCACATTATTAACCTGATTTATCCTGCTGCAAAACATATCAGTTTTCCTCAATGGCTAAAATCTAAGAAATGCTTTTAAAGTTTTTGCATGTAAGATTTTTCTAAGATATTGCTTTGCAGCTGACCGAAAAAATACCCAAGAAGCTGTTCCTCATTTGCATACAAATCATGAATATTCTCTCATTACCTCTGTTATGCATGTTCCTGACAGCGAGTCAAACGAGCCTGGGTGGGTGGGTGGGGTGTTGGTGAGACAAGGGTGGTGCTGGCATCTGATTTCCCCTCACACGTTACGGAAGTCTGGATCACATTTAAAACATATGGTACTGGTCTTCGGATGTGTGCGGTTTGGCAACTCTGGAGGAAGAGATACTGATGGGGGATTTAGCAGGCAAGGGACTTGATCACTTGACAAACTGACACTAACAAAGAGACACGAACACACAAGAAAATAAAAGGCGTGCTTTGTGGCAGCCAGACCAGCAGCAGTAGAGAGACATAAGGGCAGACACCAAGACTTACTAGCTTCTTCAGCATTAGCCCACATCTCAGAGAAAGGAACTGTGTGGCTGCTTTTTGCACCTCAGGACCCTTTTTGCATGGACAAACCAGAAGGGAAATTTAACATACAGATACTGTAAGCACTAAAATGAGCCGTTAAAGGAAGTTGGAATAATTTTTTTTTTTTTTTCCAGGTGGGAATATAAAGAGGAAACTCAAAGGAATTTGTTCAGATTCTCCAGCTGAAGTATCTCACAGGCCTTCAATCCATTGTGACATAAGAGAGTGCTGATCCTTAAGAGATTCTTGACTTTTTCTGAGGTGATTTTAAGCTTCTGACTTCTAGTAGCTGCGTTATTTAACTCGACACCTCCGGTCCTGCATCAAAGCTTCCGCAGTAAGAGGTGCATGTTTTAAAGCCTCTTTAACCTTCTCCATTTGGCTAGCCGTCTGGGTTGCTGTGACAGATTACGTCTGGTTTAGACACACACACGCATACACACAGACTATTTACTGTGCAGCTGGAAGATCATGAGTTTGTGTTGCACATACCGGCACTGAGAGAAGTGAGTGTGTGTGTGTGTGTGTGTGTGTGTGTGTGTGTGTGTGGTCTAAGGGACTCAGCTGGTCTGGGAAACTGAGTCAGAGGCAGCCAGCTCTACGTGGTTTCTGCCAGAAGGAAAAGGAGGCAAGTTCATACAGCCGAGTGCTTCTCAGAGACCGCGAGCAGAGCCAAGGAATAACTAAGATGAAGATGAAGCGAACTCTGTGCAGACTCTCCTGCTTGGTGACTCTGGTGGTGGAGCTGAGCTGGATCAACGTGGGCCACGGCATGCACAGAGAGGGAGGAAGTAGGGTAAGTGTGGTGTGAAGCCTTGTGCCTTCAATTGCATGTAATGTGTATCACGGCAGCAACGTCAGACACTTCTTGCAATTTACTGCTGTTTGTCAATGACGTATAAGGACAGATTTTGTTTCCCTTTGTACTTAAACAACTTTATTATCTAACTTTGTCCAGAGAGCAGAAATTAAAGCACTGCATTACTTCTATATTGGTGATACATTCAGAGCTTGATTTCACTCTCTTTTAGTGTTCTTCAGCCTCTCTTCACTCATTCTCTCATAAACCTCACACTTGACCAGTTGCTGCCAGGGTGCAGTACACTCGTATGTGCTCACCATGTTCTGTCCAGTGAAGCCAAAATTGACGGTGTGCATGTGGCTGAAAGAGGAAATGCACGCCATAATTGTATCTGCGTCAGAGGGATAATTAAACCGCTTCACTCTCAATATTCTGAATTCTTTGCTTAACCAACCTGTCATTCATCTCTATTATTGTGTCTCTCCCCAGACACACACACACTTGCTCTCTTCAACTTTACCTCCCTTTCAATTCCTGTCCTCTCTCTCAGGCGCTCTCTCCCTCTGTTAGTGGGTCTATCCCCTGGTAGAAATTGCAGAGGGGAAACCTCCCTATTGTCTGTTTCTGTTTTTTTTTTTTTTTGTGGAGGCAGTCAGCCAGCCAACCTGCCCCACCCTCAACTCTGCAACACACTGAACTCACACAGGGCTCGGATCCTTACAGTTGTCCAGAGAAAGTAAAGCAAACACTTTGCAGACAAGTACAATATTTCATGACTGTCCTCTCTGACGTTTGTGGACTGACTATCCGGTTTTGGCTTTCCCGCCTCAAAGAACTAAACCTCTCCCAAGATCACACCCATGACTTTTCGGATAATCTTGAGTAAAGGACCCTGTATTTCATGAAATACTGAATCCAACGTAAACCGTACAGAACTAATCTGTTCAGCTTCTGGTTTGTTCTGATTTATGTCATCATGGGAGCTTTGCCCTTCTGATGTTGCATGACAGGTGGTTTTATGGTTTGCTCCCACCACTGCTGCTTCCTCTCAAAGTGCATGATGGTAGTTTGGTTGACTCAGGCCCATCTTTGTCAGATGTCCTGAGTTTATATGCGGCTGCATTTCATTCTTGTCAAACATGTGAATGTGTACACTTTTGGTGGCAGTCAGTCTTCAGAGGCAGAGAGGCAGGCACACAAATGTGCTGCTGCAGCTGTTGATAATCATACAATCACAGAGGGGGAAAAAAGGTCTGTAGGATTCATCTTCTGGGAACCATGAATGTCTGTACCTAATGTGATGGCAATCTATGCAATATTTTCAGTCCGGACCAAAGTGGTGGACCGAGAGGCAGACAGATATGTTCATGCTGCTAGAAATGTTTAAAGTTAATTTAGTTAATTTCTCCTTTCACCTTCATTAATCTTTACTAATGACACAAGCTTTTCATGGAAGACGTCGTGATTGTACTTATGAGTTGTTTTCAATAGTTCCCAATCAAGTTTAATAAATGTGTGATGTTTGAGGAGAATCCCCCAAAAAAGACATGAACAAGTGACACCAAAATAGATAGTTTTCTTTATATTAATGTGAAACAATAAAGGATGAATGACTGTGATCCCTGCAGGTAATGAAGCAGTGGGAGAGGAAGGTGCGGTCAGCCTCCAGCTTGGATGAGCTGCTGAGGCTCGCAGACTTTCCAGACTGGAAGTTGTGGAGGTGTCGTCTGAGACTGCAGCAGCCGGAGACCCTCTCTTCTCCGCCGTCAGTGGGCTCCCACCGCTCTACGCGCTACGCTGCCGAATCTTACAGCCTGGAGATACTTAAAGGTCTGCTAAAACATACAGTACATACATACATGCATGTTACGCGTGAGTCTGTGTGTTGAGGTGGTTATGAACGTTGTGTGTCTCCCACTTAGCCATAGATGAAGAGTGGCAGCGAACTCAGTGCATGCCGAGGGAAACGTGTGTCGACGTGGCCAAGGAGCTGGGCACCGACCCCTCGATGTTCTTCAAGCCCCCCTGTGTGTCCGTCCACAGGTTTGTTTGACATGAAACCAGATCCAGACCTTTAACACCAAGCTCAATTCTATCGCACCGCGTCTGCATCCCACTTCGTACACTCAAGCTGACATACAGTACCTTCTCAGCAGTCATTCATTAATTCACTTGTGCCGAGTTGGACATTAAAAACGTCAACTCCATGGAGTCAAATACAACTACTGAGTTTATTTTCCTATGCACGTCACTTTACCCAGATGTGAATTTGTTTTCCTACTGACAGGTGCAGTGGCTGCTGCAATCAAGAGGGCGTCACCTGCAGAAACACAACTACTGTGTATGTGAATAAAACTGTGAGTGACCAAATCTCAGATAAGTGCATATACTATGAAACCTTTTTATTTTACCTTTTTCCGAGGGTTTGAATACTGCAGCACTGGCTCTCAGCGGTCAAACACTGTGTGTGTGTGTGTGTGTGTGTGTGTGATTCTGTGCATTTCAGGTCCTTGGTGTGATTCCATTTAAGTTTGTACCAGAGCCCGTGCTATTAAAAGTAGCTAACCATACAGAGTGCAGGTGCATGGAGCCCGCCATAATACGACGTAATGCTCAACCTCACAGGGGCAGTGGGTGAGTCCAATATGTCAATCAATCTTACTCAAAGGAATTTATGTTTTTTTGAGAAATGCATTTTATATTCTGTTGTGATCCATCTGGTTCATTGTCAGCTGCTCTCCGATGGTCCAGCTGTCAGAGGCAGAGGACTCCAGGAGACTTTGTGCCAGTGGTTTGATTTGGGATTGTTCAACTGACAGATGCATACCTTACCCTTCCAGTTCTCCAGGTGTGTGTGTGTGTGTGTGTGTGTGTGTGTATCTCAACAACTGTTGAATGTATTGGCACATAATAACACATAACACACATTTCTTGAGGACGTATCCTAATCACTTTTGGTTTATGACCAAATGAAGATGGAAAATGTTATATCTGCCAAAACACCAGCATTGTCTTTGTGAGCATGTTCAGGAGCTTCTCATACACCGTTTGTGGCTAAACCTAAAAAAAAAGCACTATAAGCAATCAATTCACATGTAATCCGGACAGGTGATGCAGTAAAAAGAGCGACAGTCTGCGTAGCAAGGAGGTTGGTGAATTGATGGGTCTAATAACGGACTTTCCAAACTGATGTAGGCTGTGTGAAACCACGGAGATTCAGCTAACAAGATGAAACAACATTTCTGATACTTGCATTTGCTTTGTGACTTGAATGCAACATTTTTACCTCCTGTTTAGAGTTTCCACTCGGTTCATGGATGCCCGACTGTGAGATAGACGTTGAGCGCTGTGACTGTCTCCCTCGACCTGCACCGACTCTGCAGCCAAGACCGATCCAGCGCTGTCGACTCAACTCCTCCATCTGTGCCCACAAGCAACGTTTTGATCAAGCCTCCTGCAGGTAGGACAGAGAGAAGCATTTAACCCTCAGCCCTATCCCTCGGGAAAATAGCTCCTCAACCACAAGGCTTGTATGCATATATCTGGTCTCTTTTGAAAAGTAAGCAGCTAATGAATAGGAATGTAAGGAAACTAAACTATATTATCATTCGAGAGAAGGGTGAAACAGTGAAGGACAAAGTTGTATCCTTGCCTCATGTAAAGGAGGCAATATCCCTATTGAAATCAAGCTCCATAGATAAAAATGCTACTGAATGTCTTTGCCTATTCTTTGACTTCAACTGTAACTTTAAATTTGATGAAAATACACTTAAACACAACGTTTTTAAACAATTCATAGAGATGTACTCAGATGGTCTGTGTTTTGGCCAAACTTACTGTTTACAAGCCGACTGTTTAGTGGACGTTTTACTTCAAAACGCTAATTATTTCCATAAAGCCCCGTTACAAATAAATTGAATCTCCCCAAACCATTGAAATAATAATAAACTTGGTGAATGTTGATCATACTTCACATGACTGAAGAGGTCCATGCTATACAGGCATATAAATTCAGAATGCACATGGCCCACAGTGCTCTGTGAGGCATCCATCGATTTGTATTGATGAGACGAAGACTACGATGTATCATTGGTGTCTGTCGCCATCTTGTGGCTGTATCGAAGTTTAAGAACCAGGCTTCAGCTTAAAGCGAAGGATGGTTTCTGCCAAAATGGCACCTTGCTGGTATCCAGGCCGATCTGTGTGGCTTTCCGGTGGATTGAAAGCTTGATCCAGGCTTTCTGAGCCCGAGTGTGTCTGAATTCATGCGTAGTTTATGTTACTAAATTATCCCTCTTTTATTCACAGATGCAAACGGCCCAATTAGAAGTCCACCGGGGAAATAAATTACGACAACCTGCTTGCCAAGGATGTTTGGAGGCAGATAGAAAAGGCTCATAATTTATTTACAGTCCTATTTATGGTGATCACTTTATCGAATTAAGATGATATTAACTCACATGACCATGTTAATTGATTGTTTAACATGCTTCCCCTATGTTTCAATCCATATGTAAAATTAATGATTTGTACATTTGTTCTTTGTGCACTGAATATGTAGTTTACATTAAACGATTATTTTTATAATTTGAGTTTGTGATGAGATACTGGATCGTTGCTTACTGTAACTTCTGATGGAATATTCCACTAATTGTTAATTGTCACTTATTTCCTGTTGTTAATCAAAAAGCTGTAAGCTTTAGAGGGTGCAAGATAACACAACTTTTGAGAAGTTTTAAAACTTCTTGCATTCTCCAGGGGCAACACGGGCTGCTGAATTCTGTCACAGAAAATGAAGGTGATGATACTCAATAAGTCAAGTCTTCATAAAAAAGCACAAGCGTAATGTAACCTGCTGATTTTCTAGTTCCTTGGATTTCATCTTCATACAGACTCTATAAAAATATTCACCTTCCTTGGATGTTTTTTATGTTTTATTGTTTTACAACCTCAAATCAAAATGGATTTATTGGATTTTTTGTGACTCTGATCCGACAGAAAAAGATCTCTCAATGTCAAAGTAAAGATTTCTACAGATCTAAATTCATTACAAATGTAAAACACTGTTTACATGCAGTATTTACATACTGTTATACTTTTGCAAAGCATTTTTGAGAACTTTGAAAAGCATTATACAAACCTGATGCAATATCATTGTTGTTACTGTAATTATTATTATGCATCCTCTTTAATAGCACACAAATACATCCCTGGGGCGGTGAGTTTGTCACATAACTCATTTAATGGAGGGTAGAGGGTAAAATAAAGGCACCAAAAGCTAAAATTCTGCAAGAAACCTGCAACTTTGGAGCATATTTGTTTTCCAGCAAAACAATGAGCCCAAAAATAGAAGTGTCAGGAGTTAAAAACAACAGTGATAATGTCCTTGAGTCAGAGGTCTCAATCCAATTCAGAATATGTGAAGAAGGCTCTTCACTGAAAATCCCAATGCAATCCGACGGAGCTTGAACAGTTTTGCAGAAAATGGTGGGAAAGAGTCCACATGTAACACATCTCATGGCTGTAACTGCTGTCCAATACTGTTGCTAACAAGTATTTTATATTTGTCATTAATTTAGATCACTTAGAGATATGTCCAAAAAGCCATATTCAATTTTTTATTCCATGTTGGAAGACAGTAAAACATACTTTTACACATTGTACAAGGAACTGATTTGGCTGACATGAGATCTTTTGCATTGGATTCTGTTCAGTAGGTTTTTGTCTGTTAGCTGGTGGCAGAGAAGCTTGAAATCTATGCCTGTGAATATGGCTTCTCATAAAACAGGTGCTTCAGTTGTAAATGTGCTTCATTTACTGTTGCTTAGTGAACATATTGATTTCCATTCTGGTATTCTTTTTTTTTTCTTTTTTTTCCTAGATAGTGCTGCTGATCTATAAAATGCAAACATTGGAGCGCACAGTATGTTCTCCCTCCTTTTGTTATCTTGGCTACATGATGCTTTGATGTCATCTCTCAGCGCTCATATACATTATGATAATTATAATAAAGGTGCTTGACAGTAAAAAGCTCCTCTGTGCTTGATCTAATAGCACCATCAAACGGCATTAGTGCTCCTCTGTAGTGACAGCCCTGGCCAACTCATCGACTGATCCTACCCTATATTAGAACAAAACTTATATATATATTTCATACTAAAATGTTAGTAATTGGACCCTTCATATTCCAGATTATATGTTGACACCAAATACTAACCAGGCCTGAAGTTCCAAGGAGTTTTTTCTCCCCCTTGCTGCACTCTGTGTACTGCTGTCTCCTCACTGTTACTTGGAGTACAAACATTACAACTTAACTGTTTCTTCACTGTTGCAAAAACGAGAGAATGTGTTTATAGTTCCCTGAATACCAAAGATCAAAATGACACATGACTCGCTTTGTTATTGCCAAAGATGCTCTAATGTCACCAATTATAAGTTCTGCATGAATTTCCCATGAGGCGACATTGACATCAACTGTGGAATAACCACGATGACATTTCAGTCCACTGATGTCCTCTGACCGCACAGACGCTTTGCCTTCGGTTGCTTCCTGTTAAAACAGGAGGGGCAAACCCGAATGGATCAATACACCGGTGAGTGAAAAGACACGACACCTTCACACAACACTGACCTTCAGAGTGACAGTGGGGTGAGGTGTTTTTATATTCAGAGATGCTCGAATGCATTAAGATGGAAGGATGTGACTGAAGCCACTTATGGAGATCCAACTTCACACCATTCCATAGGTGCGAATCCCACCTTTCTGTGTAGGCTTTATATCACTTTAACAAGTTAGAGAGAGAGAAAAGTCACATGAATGTAAACAACAGATATAGAAAAGAATAAACTTTATTGTGAGCTGGAGCAGAACATTGTCTCTGGTCTCACCCAGGAAAATAACAACACTAAACATGTCCACAAGATAAAAACATCACAGTAACAGAACACAGATTTACTGTTTACTTGCTTTACCATGTTGCTGTTTTCACATATTTTTATTTGTAAGTGATCAATAGATTTGTAAGAGCTACACTCGAACGCAGAGTGCCCCTGGGATAAATGCTTTTTCTTTTTTTCTTTATTTACATTTCTTAATATGTTCATTTATGTTTATTTTAATTTTATTTATTTATTGCAGGATTCCTGTCGGACTTTTTGAGTGGGATCTCAAACACACGTGCCAATGTGCTTATATTGCTCTTGATTTGATTCATTCCTTGAATTAAAAATACAAGAACTAATCCTTATTTACGTTCCAGACTTTCCACAGAATTCGCCTGACTATAAAGATGACATGTTGAGTAGATAGTTGAGACCATGCTGGACAGAAATTTGGCACGGCACTTACACCACAATTAAACAAACGCTATCCAGACTGAATTATACACCCACTCATCACCACCTGGGCATGATCCTCTCCCCCCTGAAATACCAAATTAGGACATTGCGGTATGACATGGCGACTGTAAATCTAGCGACAGTGCAGAATAATCATGTCAAGTGAACACAGTGGTGCAGAAACTATGCGTTGTATACACAATCAACAGGACTGCCACTCTAAACATAACCAAAGTGCAAAGACGCACACGAGGATCCACTTTCATGCAATGTGCAATATAATGAGAAAGAGATACAATGCACACTAATTTGATAGCAATTCTTTTTTATTGATTCCACTTGAAAGAGAAATGCATGGTGCAATATCTTTAAGATAAACACAGACAGTCTGTCAATTTAATTTCCTTGAGAGCTGCATGCAAATTGCAAAAAAACACTCACGACCACAAAGAATATAGAGACATATTGCGTAATATACCAAATTACACATGTGATTTCTAACAAATGCATTTACATTGACCGTTTATTTTTCACCCTGTGTACACCTGAGTTACCACTAAATACACATTTAGCTAACATTTAAGATACATCTCTGAGGGTACACTCAAAATTTCACAGTTATCATCACAGCATCAAACAGAATATTCACTAATGTAAAACAATACCACATCTAACAGCACACTGACTTTTTTTCTTTTGGCAACATCATAGCAAAAGCATAAAGAATTGCTTGTGATTTAGGTTATTTTGCTTCATTAAAGGTATTTTGGTACTAAAGGGGTGACCCGCCTTATTCTGCCTTTTTCGAAAAACTAATACTGCTCTCTACATTGCTTCGCCACGGAAATGTAGCACCAACCCTCAAGTTCCTTCTCATGTAAACACTGTAAGCTCTGTCAGCACTGTTACAGATGTTTGCAGTGTTAGTGCTGTAAGCGCCGCTAGCTCCATTAGCTGCAAGCCGCCGGCTCAGCCGAAGCCTTGCTGAGAGCCGTGGTGAGGCAACAGATATGCTCTGAATTCTGTACAGAGTCCTGAAAGGACGCTCCACAAATATTACTCAACTTCAGAAAAATAGTCAATCATGTCTTCTGTGGCTCTGGAGGAGCTTTACCAAGTTACCTGATGATGTCTTCAGGTTTATCTCTGCTTGGGCTGAGAGACTTAACGTTTATAACAGCCTGCGACAAACAGGAGGTGTTAAATATAGTAGTTATATACTAATTAAAAGATGATGTCGTGTTGCATTATGGGAAAGGTCAAACCTGTCTCCTAGCTACTAGCATGGCTCTCTATTCTCTTTATAGCTATGTTCAGAAGCTCACAACAGTAACTTAAGGAGCAAGATAGTGGTCTTGGTTTTAAACTTACTCCGTGACTTGAAGCATGTGATATAACTAATAGTAATTCACTTTAAACAGGAACATCCATCTTTCTCTGCCTTTAACTTATTTTATTTTACACACACGTGTAAGTGTGAGTCAAGGGTGTCCTTATGACAGCTGTGTGGTACAAAGATATTAAACCTTCTGCACTGGAAAAAAGTTGCCTTTAAACATAATACAGGCAGAAAGGACGTAAAACCAATTTGTAATATATGTTTAAATGTACTTTCTGGAGACAGGGCTGGAATATGTAGGATCAAGCTTTTTTAAAGTTTGACCCATATGCTCTGCTGCTTTGACGACCATTGTTATAATAATGAAAATGTCTCTCTCGAGTCCCTAAACTTTATGGAAGTGCAATATTTAAACATTGGAGTACTCCTTGGTACAATAATTCAACTATATATCTTTATGCAAGGTTCTTATGATCAAACTGTTTAGTGAAAACATACAGTAAAAATAGTACTGGGGTCACTGACTCAAAAGCAAAGAAGCAGAGACACACAAAGACACGTCCCTCACACGCAATCCTCCTGATAGACCCGTCTGCCATTGATCATGCTCAGGCTCCCCATAGAGTGATGTGTGCTGCGGACCGATGTCACATGCGTGTTATAATGAGTGGGGCTCTGCGAGGAGCGTCGGACGATATGATAGCAGCAGCACAGCTGCTGGTTGAACTGCTTCTGGAAGGTGTCGCTCAGGAGGTAAAGGGCAAACGGGTTGAGGCAGGAGTTGGTGAAGGCCAGGATACGAGCGACGACGCTACACACAAAGTGAACCATGGAAGTGTCCACCTGGTCGTGGAGAGGTAGGGTGGAGGTTTGGGAAACAATGGTTTCAATGATGGAGAGACAGACAAATAGAGGCGTGCATGTACGAGGGATGTAACCAAATACAAATAGATCCTTTGGATATGAATGTGCTCTGGAGAAATACAACCAGAATCATAATGTGTGCAGTACTTTTTGTTCAAATGAGCTAGTATGGCGTGTTTTGTCAGTAGCTTTGTCATTTTTAATACATTCATATTAGTACATGGTTAAAATAGTATATTGCAAATTATATTTTGTAATTTCTTTTGGCAGTTAAACTTATGTGAATCTCAATGGCAGTACAATAAATGGTGTAGATGATGATCCAATAGATAGAGATCAGAATAAAGACATAAATACAAATATTTTTGTGAAATATGTAGATACAGAAAATAACTGTGTTACACACCGAGTGTATAGAAACAGATTAATAATTTTTTGTGCAGCCTACCTGGGAGTAGTGATAGGAGCGGTATAAGTAGATGACGTGACAGGGAAGCCAGCACACTGCAAAGAGACCAACAAACACCAGCACTGTCCTGGCTAAGCGCTTTCTTGATTCGACCTGTTGGTGTAGAAAAAACACTGTCAAAACCAAAGAACAATGCTGGCATATGATAGACATTAGTGTTTTAATATTGAAGTGTATTTTTGCCAGTGGTGGAGGAAATATTTAGATCTTTTACTTGGTAAAGTTAGCAATATTACAAGTCCTGCATTCAAAATACTACTTAAGTAAAAGTATCACCAGTAAAACGTACTTAGAGTATCAAATGTGAAAGGGCTCGGTGTGAAGCAGAATTACCTCTTTCAGTATCAGTTCATTATATATTGGATTATCTGTGTGATAGAAAGAATAATGTATTGTAGTAGAAATATGTGGTAATGAATAGCAGAACCTTGGATCACATACAGACTGGTTCTATCTGGTGAGTAGAGAATCACTGGGTCTATTGAGATGATATCTCATATAATATATTATATAAGGGTATAGGATAAAAATAGATATATTAAGGTTTTTCTTTAAAGTTTTTGGTGAAGACTACCCATGTGTGCTCTCTGAAGGCTTCTCTAATGTATGGACTGTAATAAAACGTATATACGCAACTTTGCACTTTGAGAGCACTCACTGATTTCACTTCAGATTTTGTAGTGCTCTCCCTCAAAACCCTGCCCTCAAACTCAAGTAGCCCCTGCTTGCGCTTGGATTTCTGCTAAAACTGCGTGCTGCACTCAGATGTATTAGAGATTACATATTTCCTGCGGGCCCCAGCTTTAACCCTTCTCCTCACACTTGGGCCGTGTCTGTGAGCTCATGAAACGTCTGCTCTCGTATTGGATTGTTTTTGTGCAACAACCCTGTTAAAATTATCCAGCCAATAGAATGCCAGGAGTAGTGTTGACCAGTGAAATGATCTTGCCCTGCTGTTTGTTTGTAGTTGGCTATTTCTGTATTATTTTTCTTTTTTTGTATGTCTAATGAGGTGTGGAAAGTCCGCTAAGCGCTAGGCTAATTCATGCGGTGTAAAATGGCATTCAGTGCTCTGTCCTAGAGCTGCTGTGTGTAAACCTTATTTTTGTAGATAACAGCACACTGTGATGCTCTGCAGAAGGATTTATGTTTTATTTTTGTTATGTGTATGAGGTGGCTCAGATGGTATTGAAACGATGCTACTTTTTATAGACTGTTATAGTCTGATTTTTGAAAGCCCTTTATAAATATAAGTTAAATTTAGATTTGTCTGAGTGCTTGTATTAATTGGTGAAAAAGTAGCCATGTGCAGTTATGGTGATCAGATTGAATCGTGGGGCCGGTGAAGATTCATACTTCTAATAATACACAGTGCACTTTAAAAAAAAAAACACACAAACATCTAATGACCAGGGCTCTGTAGCTTCCATTACGGTCACTGAGGTTATGCCATTGTTATTATTTCTGGGGATTTGGGGGATATAACCGTAGTGAATTCCATTCCATGTTTTAAAAAACAATCAACTCATATGATAATGGGTAGATTGCAGTTGATTAAAATTGTATTTTAACTTTTTTACTCATGACCTCAGTACATCAAAGATCGAGCTACAGCAGGGATGGTAGTTAGAAAACTGGCCTGTCGTCTTGCATGCAAGTTCCCCTCCACGGGCAGGTTTGAGGCGCTCCTCATCAGGCTCCGGGCTATGAAGATGTAGTACACGGATATGACCAGCAAGGGAATGACGTAGAAAATGAGGAAGGAGGCCATGGAGTGGATCTTGGGGTGCAGTTCCCCTGCATGGGGATAAGGGGCGCAGGTGACAAAGCTCTCATTAGTAGAGGTGACGTTGAAGGTGTGGAGGTCAGAGAAGACAGCCTCGGGGATGGCCAGGACCAGGGAGAGGAGCCAGATGAGTGCCGCCCTCAGGACAATGCAGGTGGTGGTGCTAGATGTTTTGATGTCCAGGGGATTCACGATGGCCTTGTACCTGATTGATGTGGAGATATAAGTTGGATGGATAGATAAACGTGTTAGCATGATGAGAGCAGTGACACAAAAAGTTTCAGGCTGCAGAACCAGTCAATTATTTTCGCAATCAGTCAACCCAAACGTTGTCCTGAATAATGTCTGGAAACGGATCTATTAAATGCATTAAACCTTTTGAACTTAAGGAAGCAATATAGAAAATGATGAGCAATGAAAACAAGCCTTATCTAGAAGATGACATTGCCCTGGTGGTCTTATGAATATGTGGAGGAAGTAATGATTATTTAACCTTGGTGAAAGGAACAGAAGGCAAAATACTTTTTCTTTGTTCATTTTACCTCTGCAGTTTATTGAAGTAGATCTTCTTTCACTGAGTAAAA